TGTAATCATAGCTCATTGCAGCCTCAAACTCCTGGGCTCAAGGGATCCTCCCACTTCAGCCTCCTGAGCAGCTGGGACTACAGGCACGCACCACTGCCCCCAGCTCATTGGACTGATTGATTGATTGACTGATTGATTGTAGATAGAGTATCTCGCTTTGTCCAGGCTGGTCTCAAACTCCTGGTTTCAAGCGGTCCTCCTGGCTCAACTTCCCGAAGTAATGGGATTATAGTAGTGAGCCACTGCACCCAGCCTTTAATCATGGAGTGTTGATCATGCAATGACAGGAATGCCAATTATCGGAAGAAGAGCAGGGATTTGCCCCTCTCTGCCCCCTGTTGTCCTGAACAAGACACAAAGGGGCAGTAAACACCATGACTAACAGAAACCCTGTGACTCCTGCGTTTAAGATCCTAGACTCTCCGAACCACAGGCCTGCTGGGGAGTCATCAGGTGGTCTTTTGGTTTCCTGCCCACACTTATTTCCCGGCATCCCCTTCTGGGTGTGCCAGTCTTTTCTCCCTCCCCTTTTCTCTTTATCCAGGGGAGAAGCCCAGTATCTGCTGGAAATAGGGAACCTTAGAGTTGCCCCACCAGCAGAGTCCCCTGAAAGCCTCCCTTAGAGTTGCTGAGAGGCTAGTTGGGGACCAGGGACTCTGTATGGACTCATGGGCTGTTTTCTCTTGGCTTGAAAAAAAAAATGATCCACATGATCTGCCCTCCTCTTATCGTGTCTGGATGACCTGGCACCTGAAGCGAGTCCTGGGGCAGTGACCCTGCTGGGCTGTGCTCAGGGTTCAGCATTAAATCTTAGGGGAGATTTAGATGAGATTCCAGAAAAGGGAAAATTAACCTCTAGTGACAGGAAGCAGATCAGTGATTGTCTGGGGCTGGGATGGGGTGGAGAATTGACTGCAAGAGGTGGGAGGAAACTTTTTGGGGTGATGGGAATGTTCTAGATTTTGATTGTCATAGTGATTACACAGGTGTGCACATTTGTCAGCATTCATTTAATTGTTAACTTATTATTGATGCATTGTTAATTTAAAAAACCAAATCTTAGAACAGATTGGCAGCAAGTGCCATGTTCAACAAATGGTCAGGCAGGCACCAGTTTGCTTAATTCTGAGGACTCCTGTTCAGCCACAACAAAGAACATATAAGCCATGCAGATTCATGGAAGACTGAAAATGAAGTAATACTGCACAAAAAAGAAGGAACTAGGGTGGCTATGCATAGTGAAGACAACAGCTCTCTAGGGCTCCAGGTCTGCTCTGTGCAGAGAGGGAACTCACGCCCTGGGAAGAGGCCTTCCTTGCTCTTGGTTGGCCCGGATGTTTTGAGCAGCTGGGACAATATCCTGCAGAAAGTAGAAGGAATAATCACAAAGGAAAATGGGGCCCTGCTAACATGTGAGTAATAAAAATGAGAGACAAAAAAATCCAGATGGAAAACTGATCCTGCCTTTACTTAAAATTCTGATATTTTATTCACCTTGGACTTTTTCCATTAATGCAGATTTTTAAAATATTTCATTAAAACATGATTTATCTTGATTATTTGGGCACTCTCTTAAATTGTGCAGCCTGGGCAAGTGCCTCACTTGATCACTGATGTCCAGCCCCAAGGGAAAAGCAGGAAGAGAGAACCGGCCTCTAGTCCAGAGAACTCAGCAGCAATCAACCTCTGCAGGCCTGGACTGGGGAGAAGCACAGCTAAGACCACAGCCTGGAGGGACCCAGGACAGCCCTGGAAGGCTAAGTGGGGTGGGAGAGACCTGCCTGGGGCTGCAGCTGGGAAGACCGCTGGGCTTCGGGGGTGAGGGCAGTACAGACCGTAGGAGCATTAGGTGTGCTAGGCCCAGGGGTGGCTCCTGGTGACTCACCCCCTTGAGGGTGGCCCCACTGTCTCCCTTCTGCCCTGCCAAGACTCTAAGTATGTAGTTTGTTTCCCAGCTGCCCTCAGGCCTGGAGGGAAGCCCGCCTATTGTGCCAAGGGTAGTGGAGAAGCTCAGAAGTGGGGCGCAAAGTGGGGAAGGGTAGGCAAGGGCTCCAAGCAGGGAGTTGGGAGGTGATTCAGGGGTGAAGCTGCTGATAGACTCAGGAGGGAGGAGCACAGGCCCAAGGTGGGAACTCCGAGGAAGACAACAAGGCTGGGAATAGAAGGCGCAGAGCTCTGTTTCCCAGGCTGGAGCCCCAGGAAGGAGCTCCCAAGGCATTGGGGTAGTGGTGGCTGGAACAGCCATGGAAGCGCAGAGCTCGGAGTTTAGTCTCAAAATAGTAGTGAGATTTTCTCACGCCTCACTCTCCTGGCCAGCTGCCAGGAATGTGTGCTTGTTTGCATGGCTGACATGTTTTCTGTAAAACTCCCTCCACTCCACATGGAAATGACCCAGGTAGGAAATGACCAGGGTACAAACGGGCCTGACGGCTGGCCCACACTCTCCCAGGGGTTCGGGGAGCAGAAGGTGGGTCCCGGTTCTGCGGAGTAGTCAGAGGTGGGCCTGGTAGGCGTCCTTCCAGAAGGCAACCAGGGAGCTGGAGGAAGAAAGCCAGGGACCAAGGCCAGAGAGAAGGAGGCAAAGGGAAGTGCGGGAGGCAGAAAGAGCCTGGCATTGTACAGTCAGGAGGACAGCAAAGGAGGCCGGGAAGAGGGGGCCAGGAAAGGGCCAGGCCAGGGTCACGTGGGGAAGTCAAAAGCGGTGCAGGCCTCCAAGTCCAGCTCCATGGGGGAAGCATCCAGGTCTTGCACTGCCCCAGCGCCTTCACTCTGGAAGTAGGAAAACCACCAGCAAGGAATGTCATGCCTCAGTGTCTCCCCCACCGCCTGCCCAACACATCAACTGTGTCTTCTCCCAGGGCAGGGCCCCTGCCTTTCTGTTCTTTGCCCACCACCCTCACTCCCCAGCAGCCACCGGGGGCCCGGTACTGAGTAGCTATTGCTTGCTGAACCGAACTGCCCTAGGAGGGGATGTCACATGGGTCAGGTGGCTTGGTCAGTGAGGACTCTGGGATAGGGACAGTGTCCCTGATGGAAACCAAGGAAAAGAGCAAGAGGTGAAAGTGACATTCCTTCCCAGCCTGCCCAGTGCCCCGTGCCAGACACTTCCTCTGGTTCTATGTGTTCTCCTCATTTTCCCGACGGTGAACCTGTCAGGCCTTGCAGGCTCCCCTCAGAGTTAGGGTTCTCATTCCCCCCGACTCGCCCAGACCCCCGAGCCTGAGGTTGGTGGGACCTTCAGGGAAGAGCGCTGGGGGTGCCCTTTGGAGACCAGTGGCCTGCTTGGGGGATGAAGTGGAGGCCTTCAGATCTGGCCTGGGGGTGCCAGGGCTCAGTGGCAGCCAGAGAGGGGCTGGGCTCCTCCCTAGGAGAGAGGGAAGAGGAAGAGCTGAGGACAGGAGGCCGGTATCTCCTCAGGAGGACGAATGGGAGGGGCCCCTTTGTCATGGTGGGCCGGTGGATGGGGCAGGAAGGGGATGTGGCCTGTGGCTGAATTCTGCTGTCTTTGAAAGCCAGAGAAGTGGCTCAGACAATATGCCAAGATGAGAGAACTCTAGGGTCCCTGCCTGGGCCCTCCAGGGTGCTCTCCTCCAGCCTCTTGCCTCTGGGTTAGATTTCCCTCAAGATACCCTCAGCTGGGGCACAGTTTCCATTGTGAGCTAGAAGTTTCTGTTTTCTTGAATGTAAATGGGGGAGGATGGTAGTCACTTCCTTTCAGTTTTTGCTCAAATGTCACCACAGAGAGCCCTGTCTGACCATCCTGTTCCCAATGGCCAGGACTCCGCCTCCCCTGCCTTCTCGATCCTTTCGCTGCTTTATTTTTCTGAACGGTACTTCTCACGTTCTAGGAGGCTGTGTAACTGATTTATTGATTTCTGTCTGCTTTTTCCCCCAACCCCCAAATCCTAGAGCCTTAGGGCAGGAGCCTTTGCCTATTTTGTTCCTGTGTCCCCAGCACCTAAAGCAATGCCAGGCACTCAGTACATATTTGTTGAATGAACACGTGAAGGATGCGTGTGAAGTGTTTCACAGGACTCTTGGCATCTTTAGATTACTGCTGCTGCTGCTGTTTGCTGTGTGGCTTGAGCACATTCCTTAGCCTCTCTGGCCCTCTGTCTCTCCATCTGTAAAATGAGATGATTGAACCACTAAAAATCCATGAGCTTCCTTCAAACTCTAAAAATCTTGGTGTCTCCAAATGCTCAGGAAAGTTCTTCCCAAACCTCACCAGGAAATCCTTCTTCTTTTTTGCAGTTCTCAGCAGCAGCTCAGCTGGGATCAGAGGCACTAAGCACTCCTTTTGCAATAGCCCTTCCTCTACTTCTTTTGACTCTGAGGATCAGAATGGGTATAGGTTTGGGACTATGAATCAGCCCAATATTTCTTGGAACAGTTTCCATTCAGATAGTTATGTTTTATTTCATTGACTTTGATGTGTTGCTTCTAGCACTTTATTGTTTTCAATAGGGGGTGATTCATTATGTGCATAATTAAAGGTCATTTGATTTTCATTTATTTGTTAAGAGTTTCATAAAAACAGAGTTCAGGAAAAAACAATTGCCAGACCATGTGCCCAGAGACCATGTGCCCTGATTTGGGATTTTGACACCTGGTCCTTGGAGATGAAGGTTCCCACTGTCCTGCCATAGGTGGACATTCCTGGCCTGGAATGTCCCCTGCAGGGTTAGGGTCATCCCTCAGAAGGCTCAGGAGCATCTGTTTCAGGGGCTCAGGTCAACAGGACTAAGACCGTCCTCTCAAGGCTCTGCCCTTTCTCTCAGGGCCCCTCTGAAGAAGCAGCTCGGAACACTCCACTGCTTCTGTGGGGGCAGTTTCAGGAATAAAGGCAGATTCAGGTTCCCGGTATTCGGAATTCAGCATTCGCTGAGTAACTGGGATGGCCTCGACGACGAGGGGCGGAGGAACAGGTCTGGCAAGTTCTGTGTTGTTTATACTGGGGATTACTTCACGTATCCCAACCGGCTTCCCCGCCCCGTTTGGTGGGGGCTGGCCCTTGGCCCTCCAACCCCTTTACCCCACATGCCTGGGAAGCCAGGGGCCAACATGGATCTTGTCCTTGACATCAGCTAAGCCTAGAGGACTCTTCCCTCAGAGACCATGGAGAGGGACAGCCACGGGGTGAGTGCGACCTCAGGCCTCGGGCCAGATCCTCCCAGTGCTGAGGAAGCAGGGCTGAGGCTGGGAGACAGGTGGGACGGCCACCTCTGTGTTTCAGGTTCGGGGGAAACTGGCTGTGCCTCTTCTAGTTTGAAGCTACTTAGGATCAAGATCTCTTGGTCTCCTTTTAACATGGTTCTAGAAAGAGCCCCTGGGAGGAGAAGGTGCTGGGATTTGGGGTCTGGCTGGTAAGCACCCCAGGGCTGTGTGGCTGAGTCTCGGGTTCCTGCTCTGTGGCCTGTGAGCACTTCTGCCGGGCGCCCATGCTGTTACGGCATCAACTTGACTGGTTGGGAATCCAGGCTAATCTACTTTAATCTCATTTTTGCTGGTTGGAAAATCAAAAACATTCTAACTGCAATTCAGGGTCACCTTGTCTAAACCCCTCACTACACTCCTAAACCTTCCCAGAAAACTGTGACTTTCTGTGTGCATTTAAGATTTTCAAGGGGATGTTTCAACCTCCCTTGGTCACTTCTTTCAGGGCTTAATAACTTTCATGCTTGGGAAGTGCTTCCTGATGTTTAACCACAAGTCCTGCCACCACTCAAGCTCCTTTCTTCTGCTGCTTTTGGGGTGCGAGAGAGCAGCTAGCCTGTCCTCTGTGGGAAAGCCAGTCATACACACATGAAGGCTGCCAAAGATTTTGTTCGTCTGTGCCTCCACTTTCTTTTCTTCCAGGAAATCCCTTTTGTGCTCTCATTTCTCCTTTAGGTCTTGTTTTCTGCCCCTCTCCAAATTCTCTGTACCTTACTGATATGGTGGAGCCTGGGACTCTGGGAAGAATGGGTCAGCACTGGGTTTGGGAAACGTCAGCTCATCCTACGTTCTGGCTTATAGTTGTCTTGCAGTCCATTCTGAACCCCCAATGTGCTTCTGCAAACTTTACCGTCATTTTTCCCAGCATTCTTCCAGCCCCTTCTTGACTCTTCTTTCCCAGGCTACCTCCGTTGCCCTCTGTTCTGGGCTCCTTGGCTCATGTCTCTACCTCACCAAAGTCACTTGGCCCTAGGCCTTGGAAGGTTATCAGAGCCTCTTACTGTTGAGCAGTAAGCGGGGTACACAGGGGCATGCAGAAGTTGAACACTTAGTCACAGCCATGGGGCTCCTCCTTGGCAATTTGCTGGGAGCCTAAACTAGATGGTCCCTAAACCCAAGAGTGAGAAGGGCTGAGCTATCAGGAGGGTGGCCATGCTCCCATTGGAGTTGGGTAGTCTGTCCCTGAGACAGGGTGATGGGGCGATATCTTCCCAGGAAGCTCATCTCTTCAGAGTCAGGGACCAATCCGAAGGTTGCTGGAGGCTTACAGGACAGAGAACAGACTTCACTGGAGAACTCCCAATTAATCTGTGAATTAAGTGTCAAATATGATGACAGATACCACGTTCATTCTGAAAAAAAGATTGTCCAAACTTATCTTGGAATGGAAGAATGGAATCATTACATCCTTATTTAAGGTTCTTAACTTTACTCCCCTATTTAAGATGGAACCCCCAAGAGAGTGAGCCTATAGTTGGGGCTCGTAATCCCATCTGCAGCAGATTTCTTAACCTTGGTTATATAGGAGTGGGCTGGGAGAAGCTGGTTGCCTGAGCTTGTGCCTTCTCCCTGAGGGCTTTATTGCAGAGAGATGCATTGTGATTTCTATCCCTCAACTCCAAAATGTCGTGAGGAAGATGATGGCCAGTGGGCTTGAGCCTGATGGCACTCCTCTGGCAGCTGCTGGATCTTCAGAGGGACCTTGGAAAAGAGGTGGAGAAGGGTCTCGGTTTCTCATATTCAAAAGAAAGTTGCATGTTGTGGTAGACAGAGAACTGACCACATTCCCCGTCAGCTTCGGGCAAGCCACTTCACCTTTCTGTACCTTAGTCTCTTCATCTGTAAAATGGAATAATAATACTACTCTCAAAAGAAAAATGTTGGACAAACTAAATTTAACAGAGTTTAATTGAGCAAAGAACGATTCTCAAATGGAGCAGTCCCCCGAAGAATAGATTCAGAGAGATTCCCACACAGCTGCGTGGTTGGAGAGGATTTATGGACAGGAAAAGGCAAGTAGCATTTGGAAAATGGAAGTGAGGTACAGAAACAGCCTTATTTGAACACGATTTGAACAGTTGGCTGCCTTCGATTGGGCAAAATTGGTGATTGTTAACAAGAGTAGCTTACAGTCTGTGTACACGTCCAGTTGAGTTATAGTTCATTATGTACGGAGAAACCTTTTGATCCAAACTTAAAATATGTAAGGAGGCAGCTTTAGGCTAAACTTAATTTAATACCTACCTCAAGGAGTCTCAAAATAGTGTCCTTCCCATAGTAAGGCTCATTTAGAACAGCATCTGGCATAGAGAGATAGAGATAGATAGAGATAGAGTCACAGAATATTGAAATTTATCATCACTGCCTAGAATTTGGCGCTGGCTCTTACAGATTTGGACAAACATCTTCTTCTCCCTGTGCCTCAGCTTTCCCACCAAAGAAGAAGGTTGGACAAATTCCCCCCTGAGGCTCCCTTCTGGCTCCCTGACAGTCTGGAATTACATAGAACGGGATGGCAGGTGCGCCACACCAGATATGTGCATTTGTTCTTGACAGCGCATATTTTGTGCCTTTTCAAAATGGGTCACATTTTTAATGATCAGAGCAGTGCAATGCTTATTAAAGAAAGACTGAATTAGACCCATTGATGAAGCAACGTTCCTTTGTGGAGTGGATTTTTCTTACACTGGGCCTTCTTCAAGTGGAACAGGTTTGAAATTAGCCCAAGGCTACAGGTGCTAGGGACTAGTGAGAACCATCTGGGGGCGCAGCGCTGGTCCAGGATGAGGCACCCTTTCCAGAGGGGGCTGGGCAGTTCCCAAGATGGTTCACCTGCAGGCTCAAGTCACTCTGCCATCTCCCAGCCCCAGGCATCCCAAGGACCCTGGCATCTGCCCTATGCCGCTGTCGGTGTGCAGCCCTCACCTTGTCCTCTATTTCACATTGTCATTGGTGCGGAGCAGACTTCCCTTGGCACAGCCACCTTGCTTTCCCCTGCATTGTCCCCTGAGACTTGGCAGATGTGAGTGTAAGCATGTGGGAGTGTGTGTATTGGGCCCTGGGCTGGGGAGCTGGGTGGGAAGGATGACTGTTGTAACAATGGCCACTTAGCTTAAGTGTCTTGTTTTGGCAAAACAGCTTCCTCTTGGTATAGCAACAATGAGGGTGGATGTGCCTGGACAAGTGGGCAGGGCACTGGTGGCGCAGGCACGAGGGAAGCCACCACAGGGAACCCCGGCTTTAGCAGTCAAGTGGAGGCCTTGACAGCACCAGATGGGGGCTGGTTTCCCTAGGAGGGAAGCAATACCCAAAACTTTAGCGGGGCCGCCATTATGTACCAGCCCTGAGTGACTTGCCGCCAGTCCCCTAGGACTGGTGGCAAGAGAAGGCACAGACACAGGGAAACACTGAGGCAGCAAGCTCCTGGGCAATCAAATATTATTTGTTTGGCAATAGTGGGCACTCCATGTTCTTTACAGCATTTGATGAATGAATGAATGAATGAATGAATGAATGAATGAATGAACAGGGAGGCGTCTTGATTCTGGTCTAACAGGGATTTCCCAAGCTTTTTCATGTGCACAGGAGGCATCGGAAACTGGAAGGGACTTCAGCACTTACCCTGGCCAGTGCCTTTCAAGTTCTTTGTAGTAGCTGCCTCTTTTGTTCAAATGAATGTTACGTAGACTCCATTGTATGAGACTGGAAGGTTGATCTTCTCTGCTGAGGTGGGGTAAGGGCTCAGAGCCCACCACAGTCCCCACCAGCTGGTCTCCCAGGCACCTCCATGGAAACTGAAATGCTCTGTGGAACCCTGTTTGAAAACCACTGATTGTCCAACACCCTGATTTTATAGATGAGGGAGCTGAGGCCCAGAGAGGGATGTGACTGTCCCCAAGGTCACATGCCTGCCCAGGAGCAGAGGTGAGGCTCCCCCGGCCCCCCACCCCCAGGGCGAGGCAGGCCCTGCAGCTTTGGCCCCTTCTGGAGTTCAGTCTGCCTCAAGGGCTGACCCGAGTCCCTGAGGTGTACACTGCGTGTGTGCTGGGGATGCTGGTGGTGGGTGAGGAGGTGGTGGGGAAGATGCCCGTGTGCTGAGGGGAACCTATATTTGTGGGGTTTCCCTGGGTTCAGGGAGGGGAGAGTAGGAAAGGGCCTTGGGTACCTGGAGGCGCAGTGAAGCCTGGGTCTAGCCGTGAGGAAGGGAAAAAAGTCACCCAGTCCAGCATGGCCCTCTCTGGGAAGGGTTCAGGCCTCCCCTGCCACAGACCAAGGGCACCCCAGGTTCCCAACAGGCAAGGAGGGTTTTTAGGCTTTGTGGAAGGGAGCTCCTGATCTTTCTTAGTGCCCCCAGTGCTTCCAGAAGGGTTTAGGGAGGGGGGTTTCTTCTTGCTTAGCCCAGAGTGCTGGGTTGTTGGCCCATGGTCTGCCTGTGCCCACCCTATGGGTGCCCTTGATGCCCAGGGTCACTGGGAGAGAGACACTGCCACGGGGTTTCTGTCTGGGAAGGGTCCTTTTTCATGGAGGCTGGTAAGGGACAGACAGAGGAAGCGCAGAGTGTTGTGTAACAGCCCAAGGATGAGCGCCAGAAGATCAGGGTTCTAGAACTGGCACTGTCCCCAACTGGCTGTGTGACCGTGAGCAAGTCACACAGCTTTTCTGGGCCTTCATCGCCTCATCAATAGTATAAAGGGCTTGGGTAGGGTTTCTTTTCTTTCCTTTTCTTTGAGATGGGGTCTTGCTATGTTGCCTAGGTTGCTCTTGAGCTTCTGACCTCAAGCCATTCTCCCACCTCAGCCTCCCAAGTAGCTGGGACTACAGGCCGGCGCCACCATGCCTGGCTTAGAGGGTTTTCAGAGTCCTTGCAGTTCTGACAGCCTGTGATATGCCCAACCCTGGGTGGTAGCTTTATGAAGGGATGG